CTGAATGAAACTAATCCAGCATCTTGAGTTCCAGCTTTTTATCTGTCAGAAGTCTTGGTTGTCGAGTAATCCTAATATCAAACTCTATTGCATGGATAACAACTTGCTGAAGTGACTGTTAAGATTATCGTGTCCCCCGACTATCCATTAGCATGCATGTATAATTAAATAGGGGTTAACGTGCTATTGCACCGACTGGGCTAACGAGGGAAATGTTGACAGGGCAGCGGCATTACCATCTCCTCATATTTCAAATTCCAAAGGGTATTATACATGCACGCCAAAGTGTACACAGGACCTCGAGTTTTCGTCCAACCCAAGCGGCTGCTGATTTTTATACATGTATACGGTAGTTGTATATTGCATGTAATGTCCGTGTATTGCGTGTCATATTGGCAGATTTATCTTTGTTGCTTTTTGTCTTCTCCTGTGCGCGCGCTGTATCATAAAGTCTGTCATTGAGTCGACTGGCGTGGTTTCGAATCCCCGGTTGTACGTGGCAAGGAGTAGGGTCGCCTGTCCAGCCTCGTGGGTTTTCTCCCGGTCCTCCGGTTTCCTCCCACTGCTAAAGACCCCTACGCGCAAGCGAATTGTGTAAATAAAATTAAACCATATGTTAGTCCCGAAATGACCTAGTTTGTGTTGAGTGGACGTTAAACCCCATTTCTCCCTCTCTCTCTCTTGTCTTCTCCTGGACGTATCATTAGAAACCGTTATGGGCTACATGCCAAATTACGTTCTCAGAACGAAGAGGGACCGACTGTACATTTGTGGTTGGTGAAACTTCTTAAAGGATAATCTTGGCGCCAGTCAATATTGCATAATATACCTGGTTAGTCTTTGTTACGGATCAACCGTGTTACAAATATATTTGGAGTGCATCTAACCAGGTCTCTGTCATATATAATATTGGCTGACACCATCATTACCCTTTAACTACACCCTATATTACCAGTCACTGAGTCAACTGGCGTGGTTTCGATTCCCAGATTGTACGTGACAAGAAGTAATGTCGCTTGTCCAACTTTTTGGTTTCATGTAGGGCCTCCGATTTCCTCCCGAGCGCAGGCGACTGAATGAAATGAAATCGAACTACATGTTAGTCCAGAACTGGCCTAGTTTGTGTGGATTGGAAGTTAAACCTCATTTATTTCTCTTTTATGTGTGCAAGGCATAGGTTGTTCATCTAACCAAATGCATTCAAACCTGCAGTCCTGGGAGACAAGGGTGTGTTCAGGAAACTATGAAGATCATTTGATCATTTATGTGCATATCTGTATAGGATTAGAGTGAAGGGTGGCTAAAACACCGACAATGCTTCGCTCACGTTGCCCTTTTTCGACCTAATTGCGATGAGTAAAGGATAAAAGAAAGATGCTCTATGCGAGCAGAGGGGTTGGGGGATGGTGAAACTGATCACTGGACCCCTCTATCTTACCCTCCCTATAGACACGCGCCCGAGGCCGTCGCTGAATTTTATTTGACTAGCGTAACCTTCTTATGGTTATTCAAATGGGACTTTTTTATTCACTGATTTATATCTTATTATTATAATGGTAACTGCAGGGGGCCGCCTCACACAATTACACAAGAGAAACCTACGGACAGAACGCATATAAATAGTAGTGATACAGACTTCACTCAAAATGGAAAACAAACTAACAATAAAGGAAGTAACTGAAGAAAATAGGGGAATATTTCCCAAACGTTGTATGATGAAAACCGTTAAATGAGATTTTAATTTTTTTTTTAGTTTTCCGAATATGAAGTGTGCTAGTATATTGCTTGTTGTCTACTTCTCAGCGATGTTAGTTTATGAATTCGAAGCAGCTTGTGAAGAGGCAGCCATAAACTAGAAAGCTTTTTTTTTCAAGGGGTCGCCGGTTCGAATACCGTTATTTGCCAAGAAGTAACTTCGGGAATTGGGCAGGAAATTGTGTCTAGCATTTCGAAATAAATAATCCAAGGTATTTTGTTGAAGTTAGTACTGTCAGTAAAATGTTCACTTCGATTTATGTCTACTATAGGTAAAATGCTTCCTACACTTTATTTTTATTACAGATCGATGTAAAACACCTGCGGGTCGTTTAAATATTGGAGAGTCTGCAATTGCCGAAAGTAAAATATACACTTGTTGGAACAGTTATATTCGCAGCTGCACGTACGAATGACTTTTTAAGAAACAAACTTAGGATCGAATATATGTTGATGGTGTTAGATAAGAATCCATCTTAGTTCAGTATTTTAGGACGGATCAGTCCACAATTTCAGATAATTTGTCACTGACAGAATGCTAAAGGTCTATAGATCAAACTAATGCTGAGATAATGTCGATTCAACAGTCGGCAGCTTAGGCTGAACTGAAAACGAAACCTAGAATTCAGAATGGATACAGGGGCGTGTTCAGGTGGAGACAGCGTCAGGTTCTGTTCCATAAGGCGCATGCATATATTAGGATTAGAGTTCAGTGAGGCCAAAATGGCGGCTATGCTTTGCACGTTTATTTGTTCGACGTAATTTCAACGAATGTAAGAGACAACAAAATGTTATCTGCGAAGAGCAGGTGTCCGGAGCCCCTCTTGTTTCCTGTCTGCTATGCAGCCTTACGTCTTTTCCAAGCCCCATTTATGTTGCTGTTATTAATTGATGGGTGAGTCACTCACTAAATAATCTAGGCGTAAAATCTGCTGCTTTCTATGGAAAACAATTACTGTATTTTAATCGGGAGCTACCTTTCGACAATAATAATTCTCTTGTCGGTTTCAAGCACCGAAAAAGCCATTACTGTTCGGTTTTGTTAAATAATTAACCAATACCACTGCCACCACCACACCACATTACGCCATATGTTATGAAAATATGGTCTCTAGTTTCAGCGTGGACGGATGCAGCAAATAGAAATTGGAGAAATGTTGTGATCGGTTTGTAAAGAAGGACGACCCTTCCATCATCTGGCAAGAAAAAAACGTGTCCTAGTGAAAACTAGTAACGTTGTCAATAAGATAATTAATTTGACTATCCGTCTTGTTTAATATTTGAAATGCACTGATTTGATTATAGTAGCGTCGTTCTATATCCTTCCGGAAAAAGGAAAATTTAGAATGCAATTCCAACCAGTCTAAAATAATTTATGAAATTGAATTTCTACTTGTGTATATATTAATTCAGTTGCATATTGAGTTGCATTCCTTTACATATTCCGTTTCAAATTGAGTTATATATTCCGTTTCAAATTGAGTTACATATTCCGTTTCAAATTGAGTTACATATTGAGTTGTAGTTCCATACTGAGTTACATATCGTTAAACCCCATTCGTTGCTAACAAGGTTCATATTTAACATTTGGACACACTAGACTTTAAATGAAATTTTGCCCGGACAGTGACGATATGACCTACTCTTATAGGGTCATTCCACGTCAAGAGTTCTTTAAGACTACCAAATTTGAGTCCTATATCTTCACTGGAATGGTAAAAACAAGATAACCGAAACTCGAGTAAATTATTGATACATATTGGGTTTCGAAAGCTTATCGGCACTCATAAAATTGTCAAGCTACAGACCACAAATTGTACACGGTTTTCAGGTTTTTAATGTTCAATAAAATATAATGTTTTCCAGACTTTTTAAGGAGGTAGATTTCCCACTTTTCTGAAAATTGACCCACTTGACATGGAATGACCCTATAACGAATTCCAACTGCCAAGGGATCTTTAACGTGCAGGCCAATGTGTACACAAGACCTCAGTTCGTTCGTTCCTTCCAAAAAAAACTTCACCAGTGACAAGGGGAAACCAAGCCGGGAAATCTCAGTGAATTTTCTCTGCCAACACCGGGAGCGAACTCGCGATCTCCAGGTTAGCGAGCCAGCGTCTTACTGACTTGGCCACCGTCGGGCCCCACTGGTCTCTAAAACATTGGAACAAATCTTCCGGTGTTGATTAAATCTACCAAATGTTGGACACCTTTTCGGTGATGATCTGGTCAGATTTGGCATGCATCCTTTTGTGTACACGAGCCTCAAGTTTTCGTCCCATCCAAACGTCCCACACACTGAGCCATCGTGCGCCACGTTAGGAGTACAACCCCCTCAAAGTGGTGCTTTATATAATATTTGACACATCGAGCAATGTGTGAAGGATAGAAATGGTGGACGGATGGCCGAATAGTTAGCACGTGTGCGTTGTATCATAAAGTCTGTCTCTGAGTCAAGTGGCGTAGTTTCGATTCCCGGTTGTACGTGACAAAGCGGAGGGTGACCGGACCAATCTCGTGGGTTTTCTCCGGGTCTTCCTGTTTCCCCCCACTGCTAAAGACCCCTACGCGAAGGCCAATTATTGAAATAAAATTGAACCATATATTAGTCCCTAAATGACCTAGTTTGTGTCGAGAGGATAAAAATAATTGATAAACACAACAGGCAACTTATCAAGAGGTCTGGTGTTATATCACTCGCTACACAACCAAATGATCTATATCACTCCTTACACAACAACCAAATGATCTATATCACTCGTTACACAACCCCACTGATACACACAACAACCAAATGATCTTATCACTCCTTACACAACCCCATTGATACACACAACCCAATGCCCGGTAACCAATATATAAGGTGCATTCCCAAGAAATTGTAATTTAGTGTATATGTATATGGAGAGAGGAGATAAACAGTCTTACCATAAAATACTGTATTTCCTAAAAAGCATTCATACGCCGGTCACGGGAAATTACTAACTTTAACCCGTCGGCTCTTACGGGTGCAGAAAGAGGTAATTTGCCTGGTGAACGTTTGACCCCCGACTGATGATCAGAGTTGGCCAGTGGCGTACAGAGGTTTATTGATATAATGCCCCGTACTGACAACAAAGACATTTTAAATATGTCAACACAGATGATATAAGTTTTGTATTCAAATTAAGTCAGGCAGATTGTACAACAAAGTTAACAGTGATATTTTAAAATTTAATTTAAATCCATGAAATGGATCCCTGGTGCATTCCCACCCCCAGGCCGCCCTTGCTCCTCCCTGTACACCACTGGAGTGTGCTGTCACTGTCAGGGCGACCTTCAGATGTAACTTATGGTCGATAACAGCAGATGGTGTAGCTCTGGTATGTATCAAAACCGTAAAGGGTCAAATATATCATAGTGTTTATTACATACTTCACCATGTGACATATGACTACAAGATACTTCAACACGTGATATATAACTACAAGATATTACATACTACAACACGTGATATATAACTACAAGATATTACATACTACAACACGTGATATATAACTACAAGATATTACATACTACAACACGTGATATATAACTACAAGATATTACATGTGATATATAACTACAAGATATTACATACTTCAACATGTGATATATAACTACAAGATATTACATACAACAACATGTGACATAGAACTACAAGATATTACATACTACAACACGTGATATATAACTACAAGATATTACATACTACAACATGTGATATTTAACTACAAGATATTACATAATACAACATGTGACATAGAAATACAAGATATTACATTGATATATGACTACAAGATACATCTACGGTTGGCAATTACAGAATTTCAATCACAAGTTAGTTCTACGGAATATTTTTCACAAAGTTCTACAGAAGGCGATTCGGAATTTTAACCACAAAGTTCTACGGAAGGATATTATAGAATTGTAACCACAAAGCTCTACGGAAGGCTTTTACAGAAATGTATTCACAAAGTTCTACGGAAGGCAATTACATAATTTTCTACACCCGTTTAATGCATATTCTGATTAATTTCACCGAGTGCACATATATCAAGAGTATTATTGTACAAATAAAACCCGGATTACATGTCAGCAATTGTCTTCCAGAGAACGGTTGTGATTATTGTAATGTCACTTCAACAGTAGATTTTAATCATATTGAGACATAATACGTCACACCAACTATGTGACTAATACACCATCACATGTCACGTCCGTCATTATCATAACCACCAATGAATGGAGGTGGGAACAAGTCGCGGGATCTTGAGTCCGAGTCGAGTTCCCATCCGTCACGCCTCGTGTCCGAGTTGATTCCAAAAGATTCGATAAGAGAACATCATTAAACCAATACGTTGTTGGATCGTTTCGATGACTGGATCGTTTCGATGACTGGATAAGCGAACATAAATAAATCCACCCTTTGTGGGTCATTCCGTATCAAATCACCCAATACTGTAAACATTAACCCTTCGATTCAGGAAATATCTTTCTAACAAAACCCATTTCAGCAATATTGATCAATCAGCTACTGAACTATAGTCATTTAAATATTACCGACCATATTACTTTGGTCGAAATCACTAAAATGAAATGCGACTTTTCTCAGGTCAGATACAGCTAAATTTATAAAATCAACTCTGTCAAACCAAATTGCATTAAAACACAAACTGATGAATTGACAAGGCCTTACCGTGTTAGACAATATTCAGTCAGATCATAAAATCACCAAAAACCGTTTCACAATACGAGGGTGCAGTCATGTACATGTAAGTTGAATAGAGTTATATAGTAAACGGTTAACGTGTAGCCTACACAAGTCTTATTTTTTTGTGGTTAATCAGAATCAGAATAATTGTTCGCGTCTTACGTCCGTTATTTTATTAAATGTTACTTGGATTTTCAAGCCTCCATCATGAAGAAATCCACTAGTTGGATCAAGGAGTTTTTTCACTGTGATTCCTCTATTCCAGTATGGTAGACAACTATGGATTCTAACAGTTCCAGCAAATTGTTTAACCACAGATTGTCGATCGTCTGTTTTATTTATAACTTTACATATGACGTCAGCTTTACATGACGTAATACTTTTATCTTCTACGCCAATCAGGTCTAATACAACGGAAAATGATGAGCCTGTACGTACAGCGATACGCCATGAAAAACCTGAAACCACATGACATCTACCACGATACCAACCCCTACTCTCATCTTTCATATTAAAAATATCTTCAATTATATTCGGATTACAACTTACAATTTTACCAATTTGATTAGTTAACAAAGTTTTATCTATCTCTGCTACTTGAAATGTTGAATAGCTTACATCAGGTATATCCAATTTTCTACAACGACTTTCATCTTTTTCCTGGCGAACTTTTGGCAATCTTTGTAAAACTTGAACAATGGACGAATCTTCTAAAACATTCACTGAATATTTAACACTAGCTTTTAAATCTTCTGTTAGTCTTTTAATATCCTCCATCAGTTTTTTATATTTGATATGAACATCATCACTGATATCCCCACCCCACGTATTTTTCATTTTATCTTTGAGTTGATCACCAATTCGTCTCACCTCTCTACAAATAGTATTGACTTGTTCATCAACCTTGTCGCACGCCGTCTTCACGGAATCATTCACCCCACTGTACTTTATGTTTAAACTTTCACTAAATTCTTCAAGTTCATCAATGTGGGTTTTTATTTCTACATTTAATGTTTTTAGTTCACCTTTGATTTCTTCTCTTACACTTTCATCTTGTAAATGTAAATATTCGTGTCCATTATGGTCGATAATAAAACATTTAGAACAGACGACCATTGAGCAATCTTGGCAGTAATATTTCACTCGCTTTTGTTCATGATTTGAACAAACATCATGTGGGCTGTATTCAGATTTGACGTTTTCATTCACAGATTTATCTGCCCCTGATTCTGTAATGGCAAGCAATAGGTCATCACATCTAACCACACTATGGTCTTTAAACATCTTAAACTTATCATGAGTGGTTTTACACGAGTCACATAAATATTGTTGACAATCTTTACAACTAAAACCAGATACACTATTTGTACAAACGTCACATTGTGGAATGCTAATTGTAGGCGTGGTCATCTTCAGTTTAAAGCCATTCACGCCATCCTCTGGTATCCGTGTGTAAGAACGACACAATGGACACGGGAACTGGTCATTAGTGGCGATTCTGTTGAGGTAATCTTCTAAACAAATGGAACAGAAAGAATGTTGACAGTCGAGTATTACAGGTTGATGATAATCATTTAAACAAAAACTACAAACTTCCCTGTCTGTATATTCCGCCATGTTTAAGTATATGACTAGTCATCAGTAAATGCTTTTAAATGTAACAACAGCTAACTATTTTGATTGTCCAACACTTTGGTCTCTACACCCATTACAATCACTAGAACAACTCGATAAATGGCATCCTTTCTTATTTAATAAAATAAAACCAAGTACGAACAATCCAAACCATAAGACAAAATTCGAAGTCTCTAAAACAACGGTGATCGTGTCAAAAAATTATCTCTAGTTGTTTACACCAGGTATGTATACCTGTAGTAGTCACGTGGTATAATTTATAAGGTGACAGTGATATTAGCTATATATATATAGACCTCTAGTCGTTTATACCAGATATGCATAACTGCTACAGGTCCATTTATTACCTCTAGTCGATTACAACAGGTATGTATATCTGAAGTAGTCAAGTGGTACAATATATAAGGTCACACTGACATCAGCTATATATATATATATATATATATATATATATATATATATATATAGAAAAAAATAAAGGTTAAAAATGCCTAAAGAAAGTATATACTATTGTTTAATTGTCTACATGTTTTGCCTGAGCTTGTCAAGACATACAATAACAATGACGTGACGTCATGGAAGAATAAACATACAATAATATAATAATAATGAAGTAGATAATATATAATATATAGCATAATATTGTAATTATTTTGAAATGTTTAATTTGGGTTTGAAATTGTCAATAAAATATTGTTCCTTCATGGGATCTGAATACGGCATCTTAAAGTGAGGGTATATTTTGAACTCGCCCTTACCGCAGATATCAAGGTGTTCACTTAAAGGGATCTTCCTTAAATTTGGTTCCCTGATATGTTTTCTATGAACCATTACTCCATGTCAATAAAAGTATGAACTGTAAAGTAACTCATGTATTATATGTCATAATATCTGCGGTAAGGGCGCAGGCGAAACATGTAGACAATTAAACAATAGTATATACTTTCTTTAGGCATTTTTAACCTTTATTTTTTTCTATATTAACACTACTAAGGTTTAACTTCATACATCTATTGATATATATATATATATATATATATATATATATATATATATATATATATACACCCCTAGTCGACTACATCAGAATAACGTATAATATAATTTATTGTTAAGATATCAGCTCTTTAAACTCCACCTGTATTGTAATATATTGTTACGATATCGGCTATAGGTTGACGTATATTATTATACTACATATCACTAAGCAACATATCAACAACATGTATTATATATACTTGTATAGAGTATTTAACGTGTGTAATATTATGCAAACTATATAGACTGGGATACAATATAATATAAACGATAAAAATTGTACGACGAATACGTTAGTATAAAACACGATAGAGAAATATACCAGATATAGTATATAAAACCAATTCTTCTAGTGCTAAATATCATAGTAATGTTATTATTACATTCCAATAAAGGTTCAACTTTCATACTGTTGTCCAATGAGTAAATGGCTGTCTCACTAACCCAGATGTTGCTCGGGATATTTCGGCGTGGTTTGACCTTTGTCAGTTATGCAGGACGGGGACACGTAACAGACCCCTTGACAATTGGAATTCGATATAAGAGTAGTTCCTAACGCCTTTTCCCTGGCACATGTTCCCTTATGACACGCTGTGTATCTTCATTAGACCGGATAGAGTAGCACACACGCCAAACTACAAACCGGGTCTGGATCATGTTGTTATTTTTAAAACTGTTATAGCCGGGTCTAGATTCTTTGGATTTTTTTTAAACTGATCGTGACGCCAAACCAAATGTACAATAGTGGGAACAATTCTCCCGGTGTTGACCGAGAAAATTATTCAGGATTTCCAAGCGTGGTTTCACCTTGTAAGTGTTGCAAGAACTGTGTTTAGTTGTTCGGATGCGGCGAAAATACGAGGTCGCGTGCACGTAAAAGAACCCCTGATTATAGTAAAGGACTGGATATTTGATAACAGGTTAACTGTATGAATAGTATGTTGACAGACGCTTTCTATGTTTTAAAATAATATTGATATGTCAGTACGATTTCAAAATCAAAGAGGCACTTTAATCAAATCATTCTAGAAAACGACTTACTAAATGGATTAATGCAATTTTTTTTATGAACAGTGTTGACAGTGATACATTCATTACAATTCCAAGATATTACGAGTAGGTTTAGAGTTTGTACACAGTCTATACATCAGTATCTGATGTGTCCATCGCGAGTGTCAATAACAGCAGCGCAGCGTCTGTACATTGAGTGGAACAGGCGATTGATCAACGCCATTGGCACCTGGAACCACACTCTCGGAAAAGCCTGGCGCAATCCATCGGCTGTGTTTGGTATACGACGTTATTAACTCTCCTCTTAATTTCATCCCAAAGATGTTCAATTGGGTTTAAGTCCGAACTAAGTGGTGGATAGTGCATAACGTTGACACCGTTCTGCTGTAGAAAGTCCCGAATAACTCTGGCGGTGTTGTCATGCTGTTTCGATGACGTGCGAAATGTGGTATGACGTGCTGTCTCAGATGCCTGTGTAAAGGGATTCTGCACAACATGGCGGTCTTGTCCGCCTTGTGGTAACCCTTGTTCTACCAGTTCGGGGACGATCATCCGTGGTGTTGGTGGCCCAAAAGCGTTGCTGAAGCCTTCTAGATGGTCCGAACATTGACCTGCTAGTGATTGGCAACGGCTTGGACAGTGTGGCCAGCATCGAGTCTCCCAAGCGCCGGGTTCCTCTTGAGTCGTGGCATACTGCTGACGTTGTAGTGTGAATGATTCAACTAATGAGCGAGAACGCATTACCATCTCAGAAGTCAGGTTGCGCTTTTGAAAACATTTCCTGGGTTCAATTCTGTGTTTGGGAAGGAGCCTTATTGCTCAGGTAAAGTTGGAGATGTAGTCACAAATATACAATAAAAACATTTGGGAAGTTTTATCCAATGCGTCTATTCAGAGTAATATACCAACCTGACGTTTCTTTTGCTAAGTATATTTTGTTGGAAATGTGCCATAGTATATTGTCTAATATACTATTCAAAAAAAGTAGGGGATATTTGATTTTTAAGTGTTATTAAAGTCACCTAATGAAACTGACGAATAAACAAATGACAAAATGAAATGAAGTTCACATTCATCGATTTATTCCAAATGATCGTTAGACTAAGTAAGGCACAGACTGACCATTATAAGGGTAAAATGATACCCGGGGTCAAACAGCAAAGTTACCACAGCATCACAACCAAGTCAGTAACGGGTAAATCCTCCTCTGTTTGCCAAACAAGCATTGATCCGACGTGGCATACTCCTAATGAGACGTCTAAGGTCATTTTGGTCCAGATTGTCCCATTCCTGTTGCAACGCAGCAGCAAGTTCTTGGACATTGGCAGGACGTTGTTGACGTTGACGTAACCTCTGTCCAAGCATGTCCCAGACATGCTCGATGGGGGAGAGGTCGGGACTCAGTGCTGGCCAAGGTAATGTGGTGATGTTCTGTTGTTGGAGGTAACCTGTAACGATCCTGGCCCTGTGACATCTTGCGTTGTCATCCTGGAAGATGAAACGGCGGCCATGACGTCGTGCGAACGGCACAACATGGACTGCCAAGATGTTGTCCCGGTAGTACTGGCCTGTAACACGCCCTGCAACAACATGTAAAGCCGTTCTTCCAGCAACAGTGATGCCTCCCCACACCATAACAGAACCACCCCCAAATCGATCATGTCTGATGACGTTAACGTCTTGGAAGCGCTCGTTTCGACGACGCCACACCCTCCTACGTCTGTCCAAAAAATCAACAGTGAACCTTGACTCATCTGAAAACATCACATTGCTCCAGCGTCGATTATCCCCGTGTTGACGATCCCTACACCAACGACGTCTTGCCTGAATGTGATGATCTCTCAAACAAGGGATCACGCGAGGGCGTCGGGCGCGAAGGTGACCCCTATGCAGTCGATTCCGAATCGTCTGGCCACTCACTCTCACACCAGTGTCTGTTTGAAGACGAGCGCTGATCTGATTTGCTGTGATGACACGATTTCTCAAGGCCAAGGTACGGATAAATCGATCCTGGGCTTGAGTTGTCGCCCTTGGTCGACCTGAGCGTGGTCTGTCCTGTACAGATTGTGTATCACGGTATCTGGACCATAGCCTGCTTATGACAGACTGAGAAACATTCATCGTCCGCGCCACAACCGCCTGTGTTGTGCCGATCTGTAGCATGCCAAGGGCACGTAACCTTTCATTTTGGGTAAGCCGACGCATATCAAAATTTGTTTTCTGGTCACTAAAACAATTAAACTGATGTTTCCACCCTGGAATTCAATGCCACAATGACTGTAACATTCAAAGTCAGAGTCGTGCAAATCTTGGGTTGGACCCCCATGATGATCCCAAGCATCACCTGCATTCCATGCGGTAGCTATTGGTGCGTTTGGACGTCACATGTAACTGGAAATGTTTCTTCTGTTAGGTTCTATAGTGACTTTTTTCGTAGTCATTTGCATATTTTAGTATTATGCCCCCAAAATCAAATATCCCCTACTTTTTTTAAAATAGTATATTATTGAGTATTATTATCGCCTTTTGAATATATAGAATGCGATTATAATTTATATTCATATCCTATGACTTATTTAACGTAACTAAATTATACTTTTATATGTCAACTTTATCATAAATCAACTGTGCCTATCTGTTAAATAATGTTGAATTTATATTGGTTATACTTAAGACACGTATAGTTTATAATTAGGCATGACCTGGGGACTGGGAAAAAATCCGATTTTTTGTAAGGAGGTATTTATATAATCCTTTAGTGGCATTTAGCAATTGGAAACATAACAAAACTATACAGTTATATGGAACAACAATCACTGGTTTATTATACACAAGAACGACGTTTCGATAAGTATTCTCTTATCGTTATCAAGCACAATAACATTTAGTAAACTTGAGGGTCTATATATATGTACAATGCGAAACCATTCTTATTACTAATCATTAGAAGAGTTCAACCAATTAACAGACATATTTAACATCAAAGACCTGAAAAGCACCGGATATAGTTGTACATGAACCTTAAAACCACCCTGATATTGAAAAAGAAAAATGATTAGGGGGAAACCATACATTAAACAAACAGTATATAACAGATAGAGCTTATAAACACACGGTCTTGTAAA